TGGCCCTTCAGATGGCCACTTCTAAATTACAGCATCATTTGAACACAGGAAATGGTTTTATAGTACCTAGGCATGGTGGTATATGCCAGTAATCCCAGAACTCCGCAGGCTGAAGCAGAAGGACTGCTCAAGCTTGAGGCCAGCCTGGACTACACAGTGAGTTCAAGGCTAGCCTGAACTGCAGAGTGAATACATGTCTCAGAAAGACCAAAAACAAACAAACAAACAAAGACTTTATAAATACTTGATTAAAAAATTGAAAGATGCTTATTGCTTTATAATACTGGCTATCTTGGTTTTGAAGGACTGTCGTAGATATGTTTAATAGGGTATAACATGTGCAAGAATGTTCTTATCTATTAAAGATTTACTTTTTTTGAAAATGATGTTTATACTGGTAAAGAGATTTAACTATTACTTTAGAATCAACAGACTTGAATATTGTGTCTTTATTTCTGTGCCCATGTAAAGTTTGTTGGATCACCTTAAACTTAAACCAATGACAATACATTGTAGTAAATGGCTGCTTATTCTGAGGATATTTAAAAGAATGACATATCCAGCTGTGGCGAGGCACATGCATAGAACCAGCTATTAGGGTGACTTAGCCAGGAGGATTAAGAGTTTAGGGCCAGCCCTGGCAGCATGGAGACCTCATCTCAAACCAAATGAAACCAAACCAAACCAACCATACAGAACAATGATATAGTGAAATTTTAGACTACAGGAAACTCTTACTATTGGCATGTCTGGCTTCTATTTCTTTAATTGTATGTTTTGAATGTAATCTTTCTTTTTTCTCTTCTCTACCCCTTCCAAACAATATTGTTAACATGGTTCTTCTGCTTCATTTCTTCTGTGCATTCCTGTAGATATTATCTTAGTTTGAACTTTTTATTATTCACAATGGGAATTCCACACTATGCTAGTCCCTGACTTTCCCCCCATGTTTAGCATGTCTCTAGGTTTGTTTTGTTTTTTGAGTTAAATTTTGAGTTACATTTTGGATCATAAATATACTCTGATTAACAGTAAAAACAAGTGTAATGCTCCTTCTCCTCCCACTAAAAAATTTTTAGTTGAATACTTCCTTGGAGACTCTTTGGTATGGAACTGAATATCCTGTATTCTCTCTTTCATGTTACTTACTTTCCTGAATCTTTACAGGATAAATCTGCTTACTCTCTCCCTTTCTTGTCTTCTCAGGAGTCAAGTTTCATTCTCTTCCTTTCTCTCATGCTGTTCCTCTGATGGGATTGACCTTTCTTCTTTATGCTGTATATAGGTTTTTTGTTTTTTTTTTTTTTTTTACTATTTTACCATTCTGTAGATATTTTGCTGTTTGGTCTTCATCACCACACTAGGTTAGAAGTTTCTTAAGGACAGTGATTTTTGTTTTCTGCTATTTCTTTAAGCAACATGTAATATCTAATACCATGCTCTTATGTAGTAGACATTAATAGAACAAGTAATTCTGAATTTGATTGTTACTTTGTATTTTCCCCAATTCATATTCTTTATATGGAAAACCTAAACAACATAAAATTCACCATTTTGACTATTTTTAAGTACAGTTTTGTGGTGTCAAGTATATTCACATTTTTGCGCAACAATCACTACTATACATGTTTAGGACTGTTCATCTTTTCCTGCTGAAGCCCCACGTCCATTGACCTCTCACCTCCTATTGTGTCTTTTCCCCAGCTTTTTACAACATTATTTTCTCTGTCTTCGTAAATTTGAACGTTCCAAGTTCTGATATAGGAATAATGATAAAATGCTTGTCTTTTTGCCACTGACTTATTTCACTTAACATAATTTCTTCAAGGTTCACTGATATTGTAGCATGGGTCAAGTTTTTCTTTTTTATGGCTTAATAGTTTTTCACCTTATACCATATTTTTAATATCCATGCATCTGTCAGTAGACACATAGATTGCTTCTACCATATGATAGTTGTGAATATGTTGCTACAAACAACAGCATACAAATATCTGTTCTAGTCTCCTTTTTAAATTTCTTTTTGGTATATGCACAGAAGTGGAATCATTGGATCATATGGTAATTATTTATTTATTTAAGAATCACCATACCGTTTTTCTATAGTGACTACCATTTACAGTTGCAACAGCAACACAAAAGGGGTTCAGTTCTTCACATCCTTGCTGACATTTTGTTCTGTCCTTTCTTTTCTCTTCCCTTTTTCCTTTTCCCTTTTCCTTCTCTTTTCCCATTTACTTTCCTTTTTCCTTCCTTTTTATTTTGCCCTCCTATATCTTTATGGTTTCAGTTTTCCTAATGAGTAGTGATGTTGAGTATCTTTTCATGACCTCATTGGCCATTTATCTAGCTTCTTTGGAGGAACGTGGTTCAAGAAATTTTTATTCAACATGGTGGAAGGCCAAATCGGGGATACTTACCCTGACGGCCACTTCTTCCTTCTTCCTCAATTACAGCTTCCTCCTTCCTTTCCCAGTGCTCTCGAAGGAACTTCCAATCAGCTCCTTGGGCCTCATCAGTGCCCGCCCCAAGCACTACATCTGCTCAAAGGTCACATACCCCACACCCGCTTATCCAGGCAGAGGAGAAAGCCAAACCCTTGCTGGTTGTGGGCTTCTCTCCACATCCTTTAAATAAAAAGACCACTTTCATTTTTTCTATAGTCTGCTCTTTTATTGTGCCAGAAAACTCTTAACAGTAGGGCTGGAGATTCAGCTCAATGGCTCAAGTGCTTACCTGGTAAGCGCAAGGTCATGAGTTTGATCCCTGGTACAAAAAAAAAAAAAAAAAAAAAAAATCCCCAAAAAACTCTTAACAGTTGTAACATGGAAATCCATCTGCTTTTTTTGGCATGTGCATATCCAGTCTTCTAACGACATTTGTTGACAAATGACAAGAAAGATCATTTGTTGTCTTTCTCTCATTTAAATTTTATTGAATGCTCTTTAACTTGATCAGCTATTCCAGTTGTGATTATAATAAGTTTTAAGATCTGTTTGGTTTTTGCCTTATCTCAAAAGGTTAAAAAACTTGTTTATGCTTTCTTAGACATATAAGGAAGGACTTGACACATTTATACATTGATAGTAGAATCATCATTCATCATCTCTGCTATCCTAGTAGACATGTTTATTTAAAGTTAGTGACTGTATTTGGTTTGTACTTTACCACTTTGCTTCCTGAAATGTGATAAAAACAGTGGAATACTTTTCTAGTTTAAGTGACAGTGCTTTTATATTATAAAATTTTGTTTTTAAGTCAACCTCTAAATTTTAGATAGTTTCACTTTGTAAAATGAGAGGCTTGAATTAAATAATCTGTTATATATTCTTTACTGTGGAACTTATGTGACTAAAATTCTTATGTGATAAGATTACATTTGAGTTTTATTAATTCTCATTAATATTGTGAAGTTACCACAGATTTAGAAGGGGTTATACTGGCTTTATCTTATGTAAGGAAGTCATTAAAATTGATATCCTTAGACTATATCTTTATAACTTTACCTGTAGTTTCAGTAGTTTCTTTATATATGAACAGAAGTTTTAACCATAGCTCTGATTAGTCTTTTTCAATGGTGTTTTAAAGACTTAGTTTCTAAACATTACTGTAATTTGTAATGTTACCAACTCTTTCTTGTTTATGAATTAGGGCAAGTGGACATAAATTAATGTATGCTGAATTCATTTGCAGGGAATGAGAGAGACAGAGAAAGAGAGAGACAGTGAGTGAGTGAGCTAGCAAGAGTCAAATGAAAAAGTGAGGAGACAGACAGACATCTATCTTCTGAAAAGTCAAAGAATTCCGAAGTCAGTTAGGGGAGATGTTTGGATACTATACCTCTGGATATATTTTTCAGAGCTCGTGATTGTAGCTTATGTTAACACTGCCCAAAAGCCATTTGTTTTCTCATCTCATTTATTGAAGTACGGTATATGTTCTGATTCATTTTACTTTGTAAAATTTTTATCATTGTTGTTGTTTTTATAACATTATAAAAAACAAAAATTATAATAGTATTTATTGAGTGACAACATTTCAGTTTTATTGTTTCATAACTTTTCAAACAAAATGATTTTTTAATGATGGCATCATATCATGAACTATTCCAGATGACCAGATGAGAAGTTAATTCATTACATACAGTGATTTCCTAAGAGCATTAGGGATTAATTAATTCTCATGGTTAAAAAATTGGATAGCTAGGAGAACAAGAATGAGTTGGAAGCTTTTTTTTTTTTTTTTTTTTTTGTCTTTTTCCCTTTTATCGGTACTGGGGATTGAACTCACAACTGCCTGCTTGCAAGGCAGGCGCTTATGCCGCTGAACTAAATCCCCAGCCCCGAGTTGGAAGCTTTTTATAGCTTCTGAATGTTGAGCTTTTTGAATGTATTGTGATTACTACTGAATTGTTAGTGCTAAGTCATTACTAAGAAATTAAAGTGGTGTATTACCTTTAAAACTTTTTTTATTTGGAATTATGACTCATATTTAAGATGAGAAGTAAAAATCTTGGCCCCATCAACTATAACTTCAGGTTACAATTGTAATTTTATTTGTGCTTAAGTATTTTGTATTGAAATTGCAAAATGACTACTGGAGTCCATTTTGAGAAACAGTACTTACAAAATTGAAATGGAAAATAAATGTAGCATGCAGTACCAAACTTTGGGAATATGTGTCTTATTTAACTAGGAAATGTCCTTGGTGAAAGTGTCAGAAATATAAAGTCTTCTTTGGAGACTGATAAAAAAATAATAGATAAAATAAAGAATGATGTGCTCAATGAGCTACAATTCAAATAGAGGAAATTTAATGGGAAATGATTAAATTAGTAGCAGATGGACTTACTTCCTGAATTGCAGTCTTACTGGAAATCCTAGAGCAGTTTAAATTGTTTTGAGATTTAAAGTCTGATATAAGATAGATAAAGAGATTTGTTTATTTGGTTGTCCTGTTGTGATTCTTACTATGTCTTTTGGATGTTTCATTTGTTCTAGGCTATTTTCATGATTCCTACAAATCCACCACCAACATTCAGGAAACCCGAACTTTGGTCTGATGATTTTACTGATTTTGTTAAAAAGTGCCTAGTGAAGAATCCTGAACAGAGAGCTACTGCAACACAGCTTTTACAGGTCAGTACTTGTAAAGAGGAAAAAAGATTTTTTATACATTTTAGCTTTCTGACATTGACCAGCCTACTGTGAGTTTCATAATTCACTAAAAATTTAAACTTTTCAAAGAACTACGGATTGACAAGACATGATACGTATACCACTCTTCTTTGTGTTCTCTATTATTTTCTACTTCTCAGTTCAGTCTTTTTTTCATTTTTCTCCTTATCTCTTTGTTCTTAACTCATTTCCTCTTCATACTGTTTTAAAACAACTTTCAAAGGTTTCACAGAAATGAGTTGTTGTCTTCATCATTGTTACTACTTTGACTTTTCCTTATGGCCCTTCAGTCAGCATTTCTCCATGAACTTTTTGCTGCACTGTAAGGTATAAATAAATACAAGACTCCTAATTCCCTAAAGGATTATTACATGTTATAAATGCTAGTTAGAAGATTACCTAGAATCTTTGCTATAAACAGACTTTGTATCCAGAATGTCAGGAAGTTTTTTTTTAAGTTTGTCTTGAAATTTATTGCTAGTAGAAGTAATTTGATAGGATAATAAATATTTGTAAACTTTCGTTTTCTCAACAGAATTATCTCAACTATCACCTAATATGAGTAATATTTCACATTCACAAACTTGATATTTACAAAATGTTTTTTTCAAAAAGTGACAAAAGAATTCATATCATGGTACTTCTAAAAAGTGATTTCTCAGTGTGCCATAATAAGATTTGTTGAGGTGGTATGGAAAATATTCCTAAATATATTATTTATTGTTATGAAAATTTAACTTTATACTCAAGTCTTCATGGAAGCCAATTTTAGGAGTATCTGTTTAAAATTAAATTCTCTGTATTCATTGACCCACCAAATACATTTTTAGGAATTTAGTCTACAGAAAAATTTAACCATATGTGAAATAATACATAGGGAAGAATAGCCATAGAACATTGTAATAACAAAAGATTACAGAGAGCTTAAATGCAGTATCTCAATTGACAACAGTCTAGGGTTAATCAAGAAGAGTAGATAGAAAATACATCTATACACATACTTTTATCAGGATTTGTAAAGGAGTATCCCTTAAAACATTAATTAATTAACTGGGTTCCATAGCAAACAATTGCAAAATTAAGAATCAAGAATGGGGTGTAGACTCTGCATTGAATACGCTTTATGAGACTTGAGTTTTGAGATATATACAAGAATCATTTTTCAGAAGCTAATTAATGGTTGGATGTTAAACTTTGTTGTATTTTTTACAATAAAAATTTATTTTAAAATGTTGTATGTTTTCCAAAGGAATCTAAATTGCATGAATCAAGGACCTGTTGCTGTTGTTATCTTGAGTATCTGAATTGTTCAATCCAAAAGAAAGCAACAAAAAGAATACACACATACATGTGCATGTACACACACAAGTGAAACAATTAACAAGATCTTTTGAATTAAGTTGAAATCTTAGCTTTCGAAAGATGAGCCAGTTGAAATCCCAAATACATTAAAGGACTAGGTTCAATTTTGGTCCAGTAGCCCATTATGTAAACTGAGATTTATTCTCATTTGAACCAGCCTCTGAGACTGGGATGGACTTGGTAGTATATATGAACTTCCTTGGTATGGGACTTACCCTGTTTACACCAATAGAGGTAAGGAATAGAAGAAATCACCTCCTCTCTGACCCTTTATTTATAGCTGTCTTAAATACTTCCTGTACATACATACATTCAGAGCTACATGTTATAGTATGCAGTTCAATATTAAAACACAATTGAGCATGCTTAAGAAGGGAAATTTGTTATTTACTCTATCTTTTTGCTTGTTCTGATGTTCCTTTTCTTAATGTTCCAAGGTCTCTGCCTGTATCATTTTCTTTCCAATTAGTGGAGTATGTTAACCACTGTTTTAGGATAGAACTGTAGTGAGAAATTTTCTTGGTTTTCTTTCATCTGAGAATATCATGACTTCCCCTCTTTTCATGATAGATATTTACATTAGAGTCGTAATTTGGCTTGACACTTCTTTTTCTTGCAATGCTGAAAATGTCATGCCACTTCTTTTGAGTACCATAATTTCTTAGGAGGAATCTACTGTTCTTTGGATTGTTTTATAGCTTGCTTTTTTCAAGATTTGTTTCTTTATCTTTGATTTTTCAGAAATTTAATTATGATGTGTCTTGTTACAATATTTTTTATAATAAATCTGAATCTCTTTGTGTTTATCCTGTTAGGGATTATTTAGCTTTAAAACCTGTAGATTTATATGTCTTACTAAATTAGAAGTTTTCAGCCAAATTTTTCAAGTACCTTTCCAGCCCCACCTTCTTTCTCTTTTATTTACTCCCATGACACAAAGTTTGGAACTTTTGTTTTTTATCAGTAGGTCCCTGAGGCACAAGTCTGTTGGCTTTTCTTTCTTGAGTCCTATTTTTCTGTTGTTTATACTGTTCATTTTTCTCTTTCTTTCTTTCTTTCTTTCTTTCTTTCTTTCTTTTCTTTCTTTCTTTCTTTCTTTTCCTTCCTTCCTTCCTTCCTTCCTTCCTTCCTTCCTTCCTTCCTTCTTCCTTCCTTCCTTCTTTCCTTCCTTCCTTCCTTCCTTCCTTCCTTCCTTCCTTTCTCTTGCAAGTTAGTGATTCTTCTCTATGCTTTGCTCTTAAGCCTGTCCATCAAGTTTTGAAATTTCAGTTACTGCATTTTTAATTTCTACACTTTTGTGGTTTTTGTCCACTGTCACCATAGTGTTATGCTTCAGCAGAGTATTTGAAACATTAGCCAGAGCAATCAGGTAAGAGAAAGAAATAAAAGGAATACACATAGGAAAGGAAGAATTCTAGTTATTGTTTGTGATGACATGGTACTCTACATAGAAGACCAAAAGAACTCCACCAAAATACTCTTAGAGTTAATAACCAGCTTCAGCAACATAGCAGGATACAAAATCAGCATACAAAAATCATTAGTATTTGTGTACACCAAGAATGAACTCAATGAGAAGAAAACTATGAAAACAGTACCATTCCCAGTAGCTTCCAAAAAATGAAATACCTAGGAATTAACTTAATCAAGAAAGTGAAAGACCTCTACAAAGAAAACAATAGTACTCTGAAAACGGAGATTGAAGAGGATATCAGAAAATAGACAGTGGTCCCCTGCTCTCAGATTTGTAAAACAAACATTGTCAAAATGGTCATGTACCCAAAACTGTTACACAGATTAATTACAGTCCCAACCAAGATACCAACAGCATACTTTACAGATCTAGAAAAAACAGTCCTAAAATTTATATAGAACCAGAAGAGACCCAGAATAAGAAAAGCAATCTTGAGCAAACAAGAGCAAAGCAAGAGGGCTTATATAACTGACTTCAAACTATCTTTTCTTTACTGAGACATTCCAAACTTGTTCGCTTATTGGTTTAAAATTCTTATCAGGTAATCTCAATATCTCTGTCATCCTGTTGTTAGAGTCTGTTGATTGGCTTTTTCCCATTTAAATTTCTATTTTCCTGGTTTTGGTATGATGAGAAACAGTTGAAATCTGCACAGTGTGAGTATTACGTTACAAGGCTCTGGCTCTTCTCCCTTCCTCCTCACCTTCTCTGTCCTTTCTTTCTGCTGTTCTCCCCTCCTTCCTTCGTTCTGTCTTTCCTTTCTTCTCTCTCTGTGTTTCTTTCATGCTTGAGATGGTACACAGGGCCTCACACATGCTACTAGGCAACCAGTCTACTACTTAGTGACACCTGCAACCCTCTTACTGAAATCTTGTATTATAACCTCTTTTGTCTCTGCTCCAGTGAGTGTAGAGAGTTGCCATCTTACTTACGCTGGATGAGAAATGAATTCCACTCTTTATACTTGGTCTCCATTGTAATGCAAGGTGAATGAGCGCTAGTTGCTACTTGTGGATACAAAGTTAGGTTTCCCAATGTTTCAACTGGTACTGCATTGGGTGGGAGGTGGCCTCATAATAGCTGAATGGTGGTGACACCTCTTCTTCTTCCTCTTCCTCTTCCTCCTCCTCTTCCTCCTCCTCCTCCTCTTCAATTAGAGAGAAAAAAGCAAAACAGGAAAAAGGGTAGAAATAATACAGAATTCAAAACAAAACCAGTAAGAAATCACTCATTGATAAATTACATTTGCTATCTTAGAAGTAGTTACTCAAGTCACAAAATCACAGCATAAAAAGTGAACAAACAATGACAGCACAAACCACCCTGTTTCATGAACCAACAGAAACTTAGTACTATGCTTATCTATCTTGCACACTTAAACATACATACAGTTATATACTTTAGAGCACTTTCTTTCCCTTTCATTATCACAATATCTGTTACACATTTTGGATCATACTACTCTTTCAGTTTTTTATTATTGTTTATACTAGAGAGACTACGGTATTTATAAATGTGAGTCTGATTTATTTCACTTACGAGTATAGTCTCAAGTTGTCTCCATTTACCTATAAAAGCCTCAAGATCGTCCTTTTTATAGCTGAATAATATTCCACTGTATAAAAATAGGTGGTGACACTTCTAATCCTTCACTCAGCTGCTTGTAGCCCCATTCCAAGAGGGAGAATGTGGTGTAAGTATGGGCTCCCATATGTGTTTCTTTCCTCTTGGAGATTTTATGGTACCTGCTGGAGTGGAGAGCCCTAGCATGGTACTCCATCTTAGTTGACACCATCCCAATAGTAAACCCAGACAGCTTCACAAGGGTGGAAGCCTTCCTACCTCAGCCTTTGGAGGCGTAGTTTTTTTCTGTGATGTTGGGAGTAGAATGATTGTTGTATAGAAGTTTTCTCCTGGCAAGGCTTTCCTACTTCTTTCACTTGAAAAGCAGGCTTTTGTAGGAGATTTTAAAGTTTGTACTGGCTTCTGTAGTATTGTCTGAGATAAATGAAATAAAAACAAAACACATGGAAAGCACAATGATAACCTTCTTTGGATCCCAGCTTTTCTTGCTAGTCCACTGCTTTCTTTTTGTATTTCAAACCGTTCTTAGGTTGTTTAAATAAATATAGAGGTCAATTCTGCAAATTTCTTTCCTTTTGAGCATGCCCAAGAAGATAGCAAGTTATATATAATATAGTTTGAGATTTATATACCTTTTTAAAGAGATACAATTCTGTTGGTTCCCAATTAATGTACTGTTGATCCACTTCTGTTAGTGCCAGTTGTATATTCCTTATAAGCAATGCTTGGGGCTGGAAGTGCTTCAGAATTTTAGGATTTTGGCGTATTTGCATGGATTACTCAATGAATGTCCCTAGACTGAAAGTCAGAATTCTAAAATGTTTCAAAATCTGCAACTTCTTGGTATCATATTGGCTACATCATCCACCTATTCCACTTTGATCATGTTATTCACGATTATTTTCGTTTGACTAATATTTCATTGTCACTAAATTCGACTCATTTTCTACCGTTCTCCATTTCCTCTTTTTTTTTTTTGGCAACTAGTTTTTAAAACCTAGTTTCTTAATAATTCATACTTGTATATATTTATAGACTCTTCCCCACTCATTTCATTTCTAAACTATAGTGCAAGATTATTTAATAGAGTTTTTGCATTATTCTGTTGTTTATGCAATTCAGATATGGGCATCTTATCCTAAGCATTTATTCTCTTTGCCTCATTGTTGCCTGTATTGAAACTCACAGAACCCCACTTCCCTAAATGATGATCTTGCCTTGGCCAGGCAAGTGTTCTACTGTATTCCAGCAAACATCTTCTGTGTCATGTCTTGTTTTTACTATTTCTCCAAAAAAGAAAAACAAAAAACAAAAACCCTATTTCTTCTTTTTTTTTATTTTAAAGAGAGTAAAATTGAATGCAACAACAGAACAAAACAGAACATATGAAAGTAATGTAAGAAACATTAGTTTCAAAGCAAGACAACCGGAGATCTTCTCTATCTATCATACTGTGTGTTTTCTTACAAATAGTTGATCATATCTTCACATATGGAGAATTCATATGAAACAACAGTGTATAAAACTGATCTGAGGGGCTGGGGATTTAGCTCAGCAGCATAAGCACCTGCCTTGCAAGCAGGCGGTCGTGAGTTTGATCCCCGGTACCGATAAAAAGGAAAAAGACAAAAAAAAAAAAAAACCCAAAAAAACAAAAAACTGATCTGAACAGGATGAGGAAAGCGTTTTAGGTCTTCAAGATTAGACAACTGGGAAATCAACAATGGCTGTCATTGTGTCTCTCATTTTCTTCAAAATAGCTGTCCATACTTTCTTGTATGTTAAAATTAAACAAAACAAAACAGGCTAAAATCACTCTGAACAAAGAATAATAGTATTGCTGGATTTCATACCATGATGCTACGGAATCAGCACTGGGTACTGTAGTGTTTCTTTTTCTTCAAAGTAGTTGTTCATTTCATCATGCGTTATATGATCAGTTCTCATAAACTGTTTATAGGTTCTACATATGCGTGAGTCTCTACATGTATTTCTATCCTTTCTGTATTAGAGGGAGAAACAAAACAAAGCAAGACAAAATAAAACATATTCCTATAAAAACATGAAACGAAAAAGTCATATAACCACAGTACAAGGTGATCTACAATGGTTACTGTGTTGTCTCTTGTTATCTTCAATAAAATTGTCTATATCATCAGACATAGTATAATTGAATATAGCAGTACATAGTAATATTAATAAAAACAAAACATTGTAGATAGTGTAAAACTTCGAAAGAAGGTAATAACTAAACCACAATGGGTATCCTAGTGAATCCGGTCATCTTGATTGTAGTCACCTATGCTCTCAGACTTGATACTATCAGTCATAACAGATTTGAATAAAATCTGTTGATACCAAACAGCAGTCTAACAAACCAGATTCAACTAAGATCATAGTAAAACTAAATCATAGTAAAACAGTGTAAGTTATGCAGAGCTTCAGATTAAGTTAATAGAAAATTAAGGATGATTACCATACTGTATCCTGCAGTTTTTGGGATAGCAGTCTGTGCCCTCAAATTTGGTACAAGTAGACAAACTGGAACAGAATATAATCTATCTAAGCAGAGTGGTGTGAGTAATGTGGGTTTTAAATCCTGATACACTATTAATCATATCCTCTGCCTTCTTTTTTTAGACTATTCCTCCCCTTTCACTCCTACAGGGTGCACTGTGCATTTTGGGTTCCACCAACTCCCTCAGTTTTTAGATGGAGGGGAGCAATCTGCTATTTACCTAAGTGGTTCCAAACCTTCTCACTACTGGATCTCAAGTTGTATTCCTTTACCTACAAAAGCCTGTCTTTCCAAGCTGTCTGCAGGTGCTGATCGAGTTGCCCCTATTTCTGTCTGGTTCCCTGTCACATACAGCATTGTTTTCTCATATTTGATTTTTGGCTCATAAACCCTTTTTAAAATTAATTATATTTTCTATACAGAGCATCTCAATGGACCCTACCTCCTGATCTACTCTGCCTGTGGGTTTTTTTTTTTTTTTAGTGTATCAAGGCCATCTATATTAAGAGATTATAGCCAACCTTCTCTGCCTCATTTCTGCTATGCTATTTTTCTGCCATTAGTTGTCTGTTTCTTCTTTGTGAGGCATCTGAGAGTATCTTACCCATTCTTCTATTTGTGTTATTTATGCATTTTTGTTTGGGGGATTGTAGTAATGCTAGAAGTTGAATCCAACACCTCACAAATGCTAAGCTTGCACTCTTCCACTGAGCTGCTCCTTTAGTGTTGTCTTCTCTCTGTACATCTCTTTAACTTGTAGGTTGGGCTTAGCCATCATGAATATAACGTGTTTGTCATACTGTAATTTTTAAATATGTATTTATCTTTTATTCCTTACATTAGGTTGTAAATTCCTTAAGGAAAAGAATATAACTGCTGTGTGTGTGTGTGGTGTGTTTTGTTTTTGATTCCTTTCTACTACTGTTTCTCAGAAGGTTTCAAAGTAATAGAATGGTACCTTGCATCTTGCTCTTTTAGCATCTCTGGAATACTGTCTTTGTAGTTGCATCATAAGTACCTCTGTTTTCCAGCTTAGCACAAAAATATAGCCCAGCTAAGCCCAGCTTAGCACAAAAATATAGTGTTTTATAGCCCAGACCAGAAAGTGAAACACAATTCTTGAACTCATATTCCACTGGTGAGAATCACTTAATCACAACCAGCTGAAAGGGAAACTGAGAAATGTAGGATCTGACCAAATGTCGTAGTTAGGGATTGTACACAGAGAACAATTAGGATTAGGACATGGAGTTTATAATATTATTTTTATAATGGTCACCGAGGGTTAACACAGGAAAATGCAGTAAATCTATCTGTAACACCAAAGACATAGATTATTTAGTCAAGAGCCTAAATCCCACAGCAATGTCCCACATGAGTCCAGATAAAACCCAGAACTCAGGACAATGCCTCCCACGAGTCCAGCTGGAGGTCCAGAGCCCACAAGAAGGACTCATGCCAGTATGGATCCATGCCAGGAAGAACCAAGGGTCAGCGGTGGAAGCCAGAAAGTCTATGCTGGCAGGGTGAAGGAGCTGTGCTAGTAGGATGAGGATTCTACGCTGGAGCCGAGAAGTCACACTCACAACAAGGACCAGGGCTATCCTGAAAGGCACCACAGCCATTCTCAGCGACATGGAGGTCCTGAGCTCCGTGGACGACAAGCACAGTCGGGTATGTGCCAGGAAGCAGTGTGATGAGTTCATCCTGGAGACCAAGCAGCACATGTCTTCCCTTCTGGAACCAGGAAGCAATGCTCGATATGAGAACCAAAGCTTCGCCAGGAGAACCAACAGCTCAAACAGCAACTCGTAGGAGAACCCACAATGCCTCCATGCAACAACGCATTAACACCTCAACCCCCAACACTTCCCTTCTTCTCCACCTACTTATCCTGGCAACTTTCTTCAGGAGGAGCATCTTCACTCAATACCATGCGATGTAATCCAGCAGGTGTTAAATTGACCACCAGTTCTTAATCCATTACACCAAACATCTATAGATGTAGCTACAACTTAATTTTGGTGGATGCCTAGGAGTCTAAACCACTGATTCATTAATTGGACTTAATTTATTTGATGAAGAAATTTATTGCTTCTGTATAATTGATCCTACTGTTCCCAGACTTTTGTAAAATTCTTAACTCATAGTTTCCCCAAATGTTCACCCTTTTACAGCTTCTTCTAAATGTCTGTAACTTCCTATTGACATTTTTGTCTTGATGTATGTTTTTGTGTTTTGTTCATCTTTTATTAAAATAAACTTGTTGCTTTTGCCTGAAAAACTTACTGGTATATAATTATGCAAATTACATTTTGAAGCTGCATTGCTGCCTCTAAATAAATTTGTCTCTTGCAAATTACATTTATAACTTGCCTCTCTACTTTCTCTCATGTGCTTCCCTCCCAGTAAAAATGCAAGTTTATTTGTGTGATTTTCCTTTGCTTATCCGATTATGTAATAGTAGTGTTATAGAGAACTTAGCCATTTTAGTTAGAATGATAAAAAGAAATATTGTTTTTATATATAGTATGAAACCAAGGCACTAGTTATCTGAAAGTATTTTTCTGTCTTTATTAGAAATATATTATTTGAGACACAAAATAGAATGTATGTAAAAGAAGTAATGAAATTAGTTGCCCTCTTTTTGACCACTGATCTCAGTTTATAAAGATTAATTAAATTCTGTAGCTCTATACCAACATGTTATTTTTATTTATAATATAATTACCAATCTGGTTTTTAAAAATGTTGATAATTTTTGCTATCTAATATATACTTTCTTTGGATAATTATATCATTAAGAATAATGTATTATTAATCAAATTATATTTTGTGTGTGGAGTTTTCTAGAGCAGCCAACATACTCTGTTTTCTTAGCCAACCTAGTTAGCATTTACTGTTACTTTAATATTTGCTAGCTGTAATTCAAAAACATGTTTTGATTTTATACCATTGAATTTTACTTTTATAGCATCCTTTTATCAAGAATGCAAAACCTGTATCAATATTAAGAGACTTGATCACAGAAGCTATGGAGATCAAAGCTAAAAGACATGAAGAACAGCAACGAGAATTAGAAGAGGAAGAAGAAAATTCGGTTTGTAATCATTCTCAAAAAGTTAATTTTTTATCTTCTGGGCCTTTTTTTAATAATTTTGTTTCTTAAAATACATTAATAGTACTGTTTTATTGCACAAATATGTTTTTTCATTAAATCTTTAAAATTATATTGTGCTTATATAAATATTTGTCATTTTTTTTCTGATAATCTGAAAAATTTGTGATTAGTGAGGAGCAAGCATGGTGATGAAAACCTATGGTCTTAGTACTTGAGAGGCTAAGGTAGACAGAGAATTCAAGACCAGCCTAGGAAACATAGTGAGATGGGGGTGTGTGGGGGGGGTTAATGATTAGTGAAATGTAATTTTGATACTGAAAGATGGCACATATCTAGCATCTAGTTAATGCTCTTTATTGAATGAAGAGCATTTTTTTTTTTTTTTTTTTTTTGAGATGAGAACTCACTATGTAGCATAGGCTGGTCTACAATTTGAGGCAGTCCTGCCTGTGCCTCTCAAGGACTGAGATTGTAAGCATGCACCACAAAGCCCAGGTTAATGTTGTCTTAAAGTTGGATAACTTTTTGTTATATGTTTTGGAACTTTTTTTTTTGGGGGGGGGGTCTTTTTCCTTTTTTATCGGTACCGGGGATCGAACTCACGACTGCCTGCTTGCAAGGCAGGTGCTTATGCTACTGAGCGAAACCCCCAACCCCTGGAACTTTTTAAACTGGTCACCAAGTATTCTATGAAAATGACAAAATAGCAACTATTAGTGACAATATGGAGAAATTGAAGCTTTTGTTTTTCTTAACGGGAGTGTAAAATGGTACAGCATGTTTGGAAAATAGTTTGGTAGTATCCTCAAAAGTTAAACATAAATTTGGTATGTGATCTGCTCCTGGGTACATATAGATGGTGCTCAATTTGTGATGGTTCAACTTAATGATTTTTCACCTTCACATAGGTAGGAAAAAGTACCCATAAAACCATCTAGCTTTTCATTTTCAGTACAATATTACTGAATTATCTGTGATGCACAATAAACTATTATAAAATTGTCTGTGATTTTGCACAGCTATAGGTTAATCTAAGTGTTCCAAGCATTGAAAAGCTAGGCTAAGCTGATCTATGAAGTTCAATTGGTTCAACGTGTTAAAAACCTACATTTAAAGTGAGAATAATTAGGTTAGATCTTTAGAAAGTAGGACTGTGAAAATGTTTTGGACATATTTAAAAATCATGCATATTTTTACGTTTTTATTCTTTCAATAAGTCTTTGTCCTCTGGAGTAAAACTAGTATTTCTAAGTAAAAATATTATGTTGTTTGTTATTTTTAACTGAAATTATAAGAAAAAATTTAAGGTCTTAGCAGAGTCACACATTGAACAGTATTCACAGTTTGCTTTGCTCTTAGGCAACAGCTTTCATTTTAAGTTGATCATTTGTCCTCAATATAGAATATATGTATATATCCACATATAGATACAAGCATAAGAATGATGAAATATGCAGAATAGATCTGAAGTACCTGTAGCTATCATATAAGTACAATACATTTATTGCCATTCATTGAAATAAACAGACTTTTAAATCAGTAGTCATTCTCAGGTGTGTACATAGTGAGTTGATATGGTTCGTTATTTTGGAATTGATGTGCAAATTTGTCTGACTTGGATTAATGTATAGTTGTTATAGCTTAGTATTAGAATGCCCCAGGAGTCTCATGTGTTTAGAGGTGGGTTTAGTAATTGGATCATGGAGCAGGGGGTCTGTGTTTATCAGTGAATTGATCCATTTATTGAGTTCATAACAAAATATGTTGTTTAGGGGATGGGGCAGATTATAAGAGGTATGTCTTTAGGAATTGCCTCTGTGGCATTATTTTCTTCTTCCCTTTTCTCTCTGTTCTTGGCTTCCATGGGTTGAGCAGCATTCCTTCACCAACTCCTTCTACTATGCTGTGTCTGCCTTGGGGCCAGATTACCATGAACTGAATACCCTAAAACTGTGAGTCATATTAAACTTCCCTTCATTTAAGCTGTGGATGTTAGTTATCTTGTCCTAATGCCAGAAAACTGGCTAATGCAGTAGTTTTAAAATAAAATAGCAAATTTCTTATAGAACCACACTTTAGAAAGCCAATTATGTCATTAAATTGATACTTCTTCCCTCTATAAATCAGAATTTTGACAAAACTTAGTTATTTTTGACTAAGTCAACATAACAAGTAACATAAAAACGAGAGGTATACAGGTCATTTTCTTGTTACCATTGAGATTAATTTACCTGTAGCAGTCAAGATGTAAGCTTGCAGTTTGTTAATTTATTATTTTATAAGCAGTATTCATTCTCACATAATATATAATTAGTTGGTGATTTTAAAGAGAATGTTTATTTGCCAATATGCCTTATTTAAATGCTGTACCAGCATTTGAATGACTGTTTAAATTACACTGTAAAAGAGGTAGTGTATGCTGCTTTCAATTAAAAAAAAAGGCAAACACCCTACACAAGGCACAGTGTATGATTATTTAAAAGTGGAATGGATGTTGTTAAATCGAATTCATAAGATAAGGCACAGAATGCACCATTGACAAGCAGTAGTTTTTAAAGTAGATTAAAAGATTGATAGAGTTTATAGGCTTTGTCGTTGGAGCTCAGACATTTCCCTTATGGATCACAATGTTAAGTAAAATATGGGAAGCCAAATGGTTGTAGAATCTTACATTAAGTGAAATGCTAAACAAAACCTGGAACACTTCTTTACGTTAGGTTATATGAGATCTTTTCACTTTTATGCATGTATCAGGCCTTTTATGTCCACTTTTAAATAAAGAAATGTTATTTATCATATTTCATATTAACTTGGTTATAACTCAGAAAACCCATAAACAAAAATTTTATTAATTGTCCTTAAGATTATTTCTGAGAGCTTCTATGTTTGGAAAAGAAATGGGAACTTTCTGTCAACTTCTTTATGGTCTACACTTTAAGGTTTACAGGGTGTGGTCCTTAATGTCTGAAGAATACAATGTCTCTTTTAAATTTGATTTTGTGACCAAGTAATTCTCTGCATGGGTGTGCGAAGAAACACCAGGGTGCTGCTACCTCTCCTCTACAGATAGGGCCTTCACGGTAAATGTTTCTCAGAAGCTTTCCGTTTCTCTCTTACTTCTGTTGAATAGGGAGCTTCAAACGAGTCTGTTCATCAAGAACCTTTTGAACTAGATAAAGAATACAACAACCAAGAATCAACCCAAGTCATTCCAGAAATCTCTAACGTACTAGCTGGCTAAAGAAGTGGTAGAACTGTTGAAGAGCGGAACACACTATGCTTGTTGGTATTAGTATGTACATAACACATACTAATTCTTTTTATTGCCTTCCCTACCTCTCCATTCTTCCCACTTTGTCCATCTTTTTGTCTTTCTCTTTGTCTGACTCTTCCATGGGCAAAAGATCTGTCTCCCTAGTTTTATTTTGCTCTGTATTTATATTTTGGGTTTCTCACACACATGAAACCATGTAATATTTAAGTTATTTAATCTGATTTATGTCATTGAAAATTATTGTGTCAAGGTATATTCATTTTCTTAAAGTGACTTATTGATAGACCTATAGGCCACTTCTAGCAGCAGTAAATTGTGCTGCTATAAACATAGGTGTGCATGTATCATTCTAATATCATGTCTTTACCACTTTTGAGAAGATACCTAGAAAGGGAAGGCTGGGTCAAATGGAGTTTCTAGTTTTAGTTTGTGAGACATCGCTTTACTGATATCCATAGTGATTGCACTAGTATACATTCGCACAACAGTGTAGAAATCCCCCAGCACCCTCACCAGCATTTGTTATTCTTTTGATTTCTTAATGATGCCATTCTTTGTGCAATAAGATGGAATCTTAGTGTTGTTTTAATTTTCATTCTCTAATGGCCAGAGATGTTTTTTACATGTATTTTTTTGGCCATTTGTATGGCCAAAAATGTATGAAAAATGTTGGCTCAATTAAGTTGCTCATTGGGTTTTTTATTTGGAAATGGGAGTGTGTGCTAATTTTTTTTTGAGTTATTTTTACATTCCCAATATTAGTTCTCTGTATGAGAAACAGCCGGCAAAGTTTTTTCTCACCCTGTAGGTTACTTCTTTTGTTGTTGGTTTTTTCCTTTGCCATGCAGAAGCTTTTTAATTTAGTATGATTCCATTTGTTGATTTTTAGTATTATTTATTGTGAAATCAGTCTTCTGTTCAGAAAGTTATTACTCATACCTATGTCTTTTTATCTTCCAACAGATTAAGTATTTGTGTTTTGACATTGGTTCTTTTATTTATTTTGATTTTAATTTACTGAATGGTGAATGATGAAGTTCTAGATTGAATCTTCTGCATGTGAATAGCTAGTTTTCCTAGCAACATTTGTTAAAGATACTATCTTTCTTTCAGCATAAGTTTTTGGCTGCTTGGTCAAAGATAAGGTAACTAAATGTACCTGTAGTTGTATTGCTCCTGTGATGGTGAACCTTTGAGAGCTTTCAAAACAGACAACTGGCTGTAGCATGCATACTATAGGTTCATTACTATTGTTCAGATGATCTATATGTCTTTTTATACTAACACCATGCTGTTTTTATCACTGTAGCTTTGTAGTATACCTTGAAATTCTTTTAAGTGTTTAGAAACAAATTTTAAATGACAAAGTTGTTTGGAAGAGTTAGTAAAGATTTTTTCAACTTAAAAAAATTTTTTTAGAAGAAAATTTATTTATTTCCATTCCTTCTTAGACTTAGGAGCAAGTGTTTATTTTTGGGATAAATTGATCACAAATTAAAATCTGTTAAAAGACTTCAATTGTTGTTTCTCATTTTGCTGTGTAATTAAATCATACTATAAAAATTTCTACTTGATGTTTGTATATTTATGACTATATAACTGCAGTTCATAAACATTATATTATGGCATTATTCTTTTTTGTGATTTCTGAAACTAATAATTGTCTCAGTTTTTACTATTGCTATTAATTTTCTGTGTACTTATCAGTAATTTATTTTCAAATTGTATCTTCTCATACTCTCTGAGGACCTTTAAGTACTTTAAGTCCAAACACTAGTTATCAATTTGTTCTTTTTATTGATTTAATTCTCTTTTAAGCCCCTTATCTTCCTTTAACATGAAATTGCAGTTTGGGAGTCTTATGCAACTATCATCTTCAGACTTCCCTTCAACACATTCCTGAGAATTTACTTTTTTCTCTTCAGTAAGTGATCTCAGTCTCCTGGATTATGTGTTTGGCTTTCTTGTTTTACCTCTTTATTTGGATGGATCATATCTCCTGGTTTTCGGACACTAGTGTTTCCAGACTTTGGGTGTATAACCATGTTTCTATTTCACTTTTAACCTTGATTAATTCTGAAGTTCTAGATTGGAAATAATGTTCCCTTAAAGTTTTGAAAGGCGTTGCTGCATTTTATTGCTCAGCAGTAATATTCATGTGAATGCAGATGCTATTCTGATTTCCAATACTTTGAAAATTTGTATCTTCACATCCTCTGCTGTTTAAAATTTTCATGGTGGTATGCCTTGGTATAGATGTTTTTATAATTTTTAAAAAAAATTTTTTTTATTTTAAAGACATTAAGACAAAAGAGGACATAACAAAGCAGATCAGAAAGAACAATTTAAGCAACACAATATTTCACCACAAGATAACCTGATATAATTTAACTACCAGAATGTCTCTTTCTTTGAAATAGTTGAGCATACCTCCATATACAATAGTATCAAATACAACAAAATAGTATAAAACCATTCAAGAGAATGAAAGTATTACAGGGCATTTGGAACCAAATAACAGACAATGAACAATGGCTACTTTATTATCTCTTTGTCCATAAAAAATTGTTTATACTATCACAGATAATAAAATCCAATAAGATACAGCATGATAGAACCAATGGAAACAAAAGAACAAAAGCATGGTAGAACTTCAGAGCAAGATGATATTAAATCAGCACTGGCTGTTATAATGTCTTGTTTTCCTCAAAATTCTTTTGCATTTATTTAAATATGTTCTGTGGGCTACTATTTGGTCTATTTTAGAGAATGTGCCATGTACTGCTGAAAAGAATGTATATTCTGATGTTGTTGGATGGCACACTCTGTATATTTCTACCAAGTCCACTTGTTCACATATGTGATTCAGTTCTGTTATTTCTTCGCTGATTTTCTGTCTGGTTGATCTGTCCCTTGGTGTCAATGATGTGTTAAGGTCTTCTGTTATAATTGTGTTATTGCTTATTTGATTTTTCATTTCTGTTAATACTTGCTTTGTATAACTGGGTGCTCCCAAATTGGTGCATATATATTTAAGATTGTTATCTCTTCCTCTTGAAGTTTTCCCCTAACCAGTATGTAATGACCTTCTTTATCTCTTAGGATCATTCTTGGTTTGAAGTTCACATTGTCTGCAAACAGAATAGCTACCCCTGCTTTTTGGGGGGTTCCTGTTGCATGAAGTATTGTTTTCCATCTTTCGACTTTCAGTCTGTGAGTTTCTTTCTGGGTTATATAGGTTTCTTGTAGACAACATATGGTTGAATATTGTTTCTTGATCCATTCTGCCAGTCTTATTATTTTAATTGTGAATTGAGACCATTTACATTGATGGTTATAACTGTTATATATTGGTTCATTGTTGACATGTTATCTTTCTGCTGTTTCATCTTTATCTTTCCATTCTTTTTAATTGTCTGCCTTGTTCAGTGGCTTTTTCTAAGTGTATCTAAACTGTCTTTCAGTATTCTTTGCAGGGTTGGTTTGGTGATCATGACGTTCTTCCACTGTTCTCTGTCATGGAAATATCTTATTTTTCCATCCATTTTGAAGGACAGTTTTCAGGATACATCAGTCTAGGTTGGAAATCATTTTCCTTTAGGATCTGAAATATTTCACTCCATGCTCTTCTTGACTTCATTGTTTGTGCTGAGAAGTCTGCTGTGATTTTGATAGGTTTTCCTTTATAGGTATTCTATCTTTTGTCTCTAACCGCTTTTAATATTGTATTCTTTTGTTGGGTAACTGGGAAGGTGATTATTATATGTCTGGGTGTAGTTTTATTTTGGTTATGGCTATTTGGAGTTATATATGCTTCACTAACCCTAATGTCAGTTTCCATTCTTATGTTTGGAAAATTTCCAGCCATTACTTCTGTAAATAGCGTCTTGGTATCATTTGTGTTATCCCTTCTTTTTCATTTATTCCTATCAATCTTATGTTGTTTTTCTTTGCATCATCTTGCAGCTGTTGAATTGTTATTTCCCGATTCTTTGTTATTTTTAAAAGATCTTTCCTGTTTACTAGCTGCAATCTTGTCTTTGAGGTCTGAAATTCTATGTTCACTTTCATTGAGGTGGTTTTGACAACTTTCAATGAAATTTTTGATTTCCTGTGTATCTCTCTGAATCTGCTTCATGTATTGTTTGTTTCTTGTATTGTTCATCCAGTGATTGTATCTTTTTGTTTTGTTATTGTAATTTTTTAACTGTGTCTTCTTAGATGTGGTTAGCATCTCTTTTATTACTTTTATCATTTCTTCTTTTACCTGGGAGATTATTTCTAATTTGAGTTCCTTTAAAGTTTCCCGGAGTTGCTTCTTTATTTCAGTTGCTATTATTTCAGGTGTATGGCATGTATTTTTTTTTCTATGTACATGGCTCCTAGTCTTTCTTGGAATGGGCTGGAGGTTTGAAATTGCATTTTGGTCTTTTGTTTTGTCACTTTCCTATATTACCATGTTTCAAGTGATGTTCCAAAGCTTCCTCTGGGCATGTTGGAAATCCTCTCCTATTCCCTCAGCTCCTGGGACTGAATGGAGGTTGCTGAGTGTGGTCCAGTCCAGCTCATAGGACCTCCCATGCCACCTCCAGTGTGTCAGGAGGCTGTTTGAGCATTTAACTCACTGTGAATGATGGTCCAAAGGTCTCCCTGGGCAAGCACCAATATGCTGGAACTCACTTCATGTGCCCTCAACTCCCCTGATTAAAAAAGTCTCTGGACATGGTCTTTTCAGGCTGCAAAACCTCCCAAGCCTAGTCTAGTGTGCCTGGAAGCTTGGCGGGTCCTTGACAACTGTGAACGATGATCTTAAACTCTCCAGGGATCTGAGCTGATTTGCAGGAACTCACCTCTGGTAGCCCTGTTCCCTGGATTGAAGGAACGTCACTGAGCATGGCCCAGCAGTCTGGAAACCTGCAGAGCCCAGTCTAGTGTGGCTGGAAGTTGGGCAGGTCCTTAACCCTGGGAGTGATGATCTTAAACTGTCCTGGGGCCCCCTGCCGCAGGTGTGCAGGAACTCATCTCTGGCAGCCCAGGTCCCTGGATTGAAAGAAGGTCACTGGGTGTGGCCCAGGCAATCTGGAAACCTACAGAGCCCAGTCTAGTGTGACTGGAAGCTGGGTAGGTTCTAACCGCTGGGAGCGATGATCTGAAACTCTCTGCCGCTGCCGCCCCCCCCCCCACCCGGGTGCAGCAACTCACCTCCAGCAACCCAGTTTCCCATATTGAATTAAGGTCACTGGTTGTTTTTATAATTCATTATATGGAGTGTCTTCAATCTAGAAATACTGTTCAGTTCTGTTATTTTTTTCTGTTTCTGAGTAATTTTCATTTTTCTTGTGAAATGCCTTTGTTTGTTGGAATTTTTAGATTAATCTTTTAGTGATCTTTTTTTGAGTGGGTTCTCTTTTTTTATTTTTTGTCCATTTTAGGAAATCTCCTGGTTTCATCTTCTAACTTTTTTATATTTTTCTGTGTCAAGTATTTAATTTCCAAGATACCCTTCTCTTCCTTATGATTGTGAAATTTTCGTGATAATTTTGAATTTTCTTTTGCTGTTGCTTTGTTCCTTCTTCCTTACGTTGGTTATTGATTTCTGACTTTTTCCTTTGTGAACTGTCTTCGTATGTCTAGTGATTATATTTGAGAGAAACACTAAAATTGTCCTCTTAAAGTTATGTTGGTAAGAGCAGAACCAGTCAACTAACAGATTTCACTGGAAAAGATGGTAGGGCACATTTCCCTAGGGAAAGAATTTGCTAGCTTTTTATAGCTGTTGCTGCTTTTTTTTTTTTTTTTTTTTTTGCATGCTTAAGTATTAGATGTTTTTTGCTCTGCTGAGTTAGTTACTACTTAATTAACTTTTTTTTCTAAATTTCACATTTTTTTACTTCTACTGTTTGTTGTTGTCTCTCCTCCATGCTGCTTGTCTTTATAGGTTTATCCTTCTGTTTGTCTTTATTCTAGGTTTTAAAACATTTTTAGGAAAAATAGGGCTCAACTCATGAATTCTATTTTCCTTTTTAATAAAAGTGTTTACCTTTGAGTTTTACATATTGACTTGGTAAAAGGATGAGTCTTGGTATGATCTATTTATAAAAATTTATGAAATACTCCATATATTTTGGGAATTTAAAAAGTCCTTCAGTATCGACCAATTATCAGTATTCAAAAAAATATAGTTTAATTTATTCTGTCAAATTGTAAATGAAAGCAATCCAAGCAGTGAAGGAAAGACTTCTGAAAGGTATCATAAGAAATCAGTGCAACTAAGACAGTTTATACCAGAAGGATAGTTAATAAAAACATAAGTAAAGAATATTGCTCTTTCATGTCAGTGGGTCCTTTTATGAAATAATTTTCTAGATGATAGAGCAAATGTATAGCCTGCGGATGCCACCCTTCTCAGTCTAACATGAGAACAGTTTTAAAGTGAAGCCACTCATATCTCCTTGAGTCTATGCTTGTTTGCCTTGCCAGCTCTGTCTGTGAAGGCAGGGTTGCAACTTCTTTCATTTGGAACTCATTTTGGTTACTTTGAAACTTGCTGCTCCTTTTTTTTGGGGGGGGGGTGTCTAATTTGGGGAATTTTATTATAGCTGTTTTGACTCTAGACCTTGAATTAGTCCTTATCTAGTAATTGTGCTAACATGCCAAAGAACATGTTTGACATTGGACCATTGAAAAATTTTATGAAGCTAAGTTTTGAGACAATTAATATCATATTCTTTCCCTGATCTCAAAATTCCAGAACTGTGAAATTTACCATTGAGTTGCTATATTATAAGAGAAACTGTATTTACCTTTGATATCCACTATTAATCCTTGGGCTAGTTGTGGCTCCTGCTTTTCCATTAAGCAAAATCTTTTAGAAAATTCATGAGTTATACCAACATCAACTTAACATTTTTCCAAATTTAATTTTCTGCTGTACTACAGTTGGAGGAAAATTAGTGGCCTAAAATTAAATTGATGCTTCCATCAACCTTTAGTATAACTTTAAAAAAGTAAATAGTATACGATAACCATTTCAAAATATTATTTTAAAGTGTTAGTGCCGTACACCTGTGCCCTTAGTAACATTAATAAACGTTTTATTTTAAAATTCTGAAAAGTATAGAACATTATTACAAATATCGCTTTTTGATTTTGGTTTTTATACTTGTTACAGAAAAGTCTTGTCTGGAGAATATATTTTGACAAATTGACATGTTGTGATAGGTGCTAGGATAATTGTATAAGTTTTTAAAGTTAAAATTGCAAGCAGATTTCTGCAGCAGATTAATCCCAATATAAAAAGATTTGTGTGAATTTCAGCATTGATAAGTATGACATATATTTTATTTGGACATTTCTCAGCAGTGATACAAATTTGATGCTAGGTAAACTGTATTAAATGGTAAGAAAGTATATTATATTGGATATTAATGGGAGACATTTCTAAATCTTTTGTGTGAGTTTATTAAATGATATACCTATACTTGTTCATGTTTACTGTACATATCTGGCTGAATTGAATAATGACAGGGATTTTACTAACAGTTCTTTTTTTTTAAATTTTATTTAAGGAGAAAAGAAAAAAAAAGCAGAGAAAGGGTACAAGTTATACAGATTTACAGAAAAAAAATAAACAGTAGGAAATCACTAGTTAATGGATTACATATTATCATCTTAGAAATAATTGTTCAAGTCACAAAATTAAAGCTTGTAAAGTGGACATTCCAGCAATGATACTGCAAACAGTTCTGTTCAATGATCCAATAAAACTCTGTGATATCATTTCCTATCTTATGCACTTAAATATACATGCAGTTATATAGTTTAGAGCACTTTCTTTTCCTCTGTTTTGTACAATGACTATTACACATTTTGGGTTTCATTGCTCCCACAGTTCTTATTACTTTTTTGGAAGAGAGTAAAACCAAATGTGACATAACAGAACAGAATCGGTCAAGTCAAAAGGGTGGACATAATAGATAATGTAAAAACATAATACAAGGTGATCAACAATGGTTACCATAATGCCTCCCGCTATCTCTAATAGAATTGCCTATATCATTAGTTATAATACAATTGAACAAAACACTAAAGAATAAAACCGACAAAACCAAAACCTTGGAGACATTGTAGGTCTTCAAAAGTAGATAAAAGTCAACGAGAATGGGCGTTATAATGAATCTCATTATCTTCACAGCTGATGCCTAAACGTTCGAACCTGGTACTATCCAGCAAAACAGAATAGGGGAACATCAGTCAAAAACAAGATGGTGAGAGTAATACAGGGCTTTAAATCGAGATAATGGAAAGTCAAAGTGGGTTACTATAATATAACCTGCTATTTTTTTCCTTTAATTAAAAGGATAAAAATAAAAAAGTAAATAATGGAGTGGAGATTGAGATAAAAGAGGGCATAACAGCGAAACAGTGCAGATCAAAACATAACCATTTAAGCAGAATAGTGTTTCACCACCAGATAATCCTGACCTAAAAGTAGTCACCATATTGTCTCTTTCCTTGAAATCCTTGAGTACAACTTCGTATACTGTAGCATTAAGTATATCAAAACAATGTAAAACCATTTAAGAGAATGACAGCATTACAGAGTATTTAGAATCGACTAACAGAAAATGAACAATGGTTTCTGTATAATCTCCTTGTCTTTAAAAAGTTTTTGCTTATACTATCGTCCATAATAAAATCCAATAAGATACAACCTATTTAGACCATTGGAGACAGAAGAACAAAAGCTAGATGAGACTTCAAAACAAGATGATACTAAATCAGTATTACCTATTAAGATGTCATTTTCTCCAAAATAGATGTTCCTATCATCCAATCTTCTCTGCCTCATTTCTGTTGAGCTCTTTTTCTGTCAGTAGCTGTCAGTTTGTCTTCTTCATTTTGTTCTCTGCTCCATTCGTTGTGGCCTCCCCGCCACTATTTCTGGATTCTTTGTATTTTTCTTTTTTTAGAATATCCTGCAATACTCTCTGTAGAGTTGAATTGGTGGTTGCAAATTCCCCCAGTTCCTCTTTATCCTGGAAGCACCTTGTTTTTCCATCAATTTCCAGGGACAGTTGTGCAGGATATCTCAATCTTGGCTGGAGATTATTATCTTTCAAAGCTTGAATTATTTCCTCCGACGCTCTTTGTGATTTGATGGTTTGTGAAGAGAAATCTGCTGTAATTCTGATGGGTGTTCCCTTGTAAGTGGTCTGTTTCTTGTCTCTGACAGCTTTTAATATTCTGTTCTTGTACTGAATTTCTGGAATTTTTATTATTATATGCCTGGGTGTTGCTCTGTTTGGGTTGTAGGTAGCTGGGGTCCTGTATGCCTCATACATCTGAGTATCTTTACCTTTGGCTAAATTAGGAAAATTCTCCTGGATTATTTCTGTGAGTAGCTTTTGTAGTTCACTTGTTTGTGTCCCTACTTCTTCTTTTATATTCTTAATCCTTAAGTTATGGCTCCTCTTATCATCTTCTTGTCTTTGTATTATTGCTGTTTGTTTCTTTGTTATTTTTAAGAAGTTTTTCATTTCATTCTCCCATATTACAAGTCTGCCCTCCAGTTCAGATAGTCTGTCCTTAGTTTCTTTCAAGCTGTTATGCAAGTCTTCGATAGACTTCTTAGTTTCTTGGTAGTCCCTTTGAACCTGCTTCACGTATTCTATGCTTTCTCGGTTTTTTTTTTTTTTTTTATTTAAGAGGAAAAAGAGAAAAAACACAAAACAAACCAAAGCGGTGTAAGGGTACACGTAATACAGAACTACAAAAAAACAAAACAAAACAAACAAACAAAAAAAAACATAACAGTAAGAAATCACCTGTTAGTATATTACATATTATCATCTTGAAAATAGTTCCTCAAATCACAGTATTAAAGAATACAAGGTGGACATTCAAACAGGTAGACTGCAAACAGCTGTGTTCAATGATCCAAAAACATTGATACAGTCAGCTATTTAACACCCCTAAACACACTTGCTGTTATAATCCCTTAGAGCTCTTTCTTTTTTTTTTTTTTCCCCTCTCTTTTTTACAACAAAATTCACACACTTTGGATTTCATTACTCCTTAGTGCTTATTACTTTTTTTTTGGGGGGGGGGGAGAAGCTTTCTCGGTTTTCTCCATCAAACAATTCTCCCCTCTTTTTCTGTTCTTCCATTCCACCATCTGTTTTTTCTTGGGTGGTGCTTAGCATTTCTCTAACTATTTTGCATACTTCTAGCTTCAGGTCATTGATAACTTCATTCCTGAATTGATCTATGAGGCTCTCTATATGGCACTTTATGTCTATTGGTGCGGTGTCCGCTATTGCCTGTTTCTCAGAATTGGGGGCCGAGGAGCCTTTCTTGTTGCTGCCTCTTCCCATATTCTCTGTTCCTTATATATGCAAGCTTGTATAGGAGACCCAGCTTCTCTCCCTGTCAGCCACAGGCTGATCGAATTGCGCCGGCTAGGTGTTCCCGCCCACCACAGCGCACCAGGGAGTTACGGACCAGGCAGCCTACGGAGGGCCCGCCCCTCCCGGCCACCGTCAGGCTCTGGGATCTGGGTTGGGCCAGCCTACCGGGTCTGCCAGCAGTGTCACGCAGGCCAGGCACTTTTCACCAATCCCGCCCGAGAGGGGTATGTGTGACTGGAGTCGCCACCGCGCCCTGCTCCCGCAGGACTGCCCAGGTCCAGAAAGTCCTCCGCCGGAGTCAAACTGTGGTAGAGTGTCAGTTTCTCTCACTCACCTCACCACAAGTCAGTGCACGCCTCCATGCCCATCCTGTTTTGGACTCTGTTCACAGATTCCCGTTCTCAGAGCTTCCGCGCGTCTCTCTCCTTGCCGAGCCGCTGTAGAGGCAGTCGCCGCGCGGCGGGAAACCCAAATCGCGGCTTCCAATGGCGCGGGGTCCAGCCTCCACACTGAGGCTTTTCTGTTCCTGTTTTAGCACCAGGACTGCATTCCAAGTTGGTTTCTCTCAGCCCAGTTTGTTCCTGAGTCAGCAGAGCATATCTCCACCTGCTTATGTCTCCTTACTCCGCACCCTTCCTGACTTCTGAACCAAGCCATTCAGAGATCCTCCGTAGTATCTGTTATCTGTCCGCCATGTTCTCCCGGCTAACAGTTTGTTCTTTCTGTTCAACACAACTTTTCTTTCTTTCTTTTTTTTTTTTTTTTTTTTTTTGGTTTTTTTGAGACAGAGTCTTGCTATGCAGTTCAGGCTGCCCTTGAGCTAACTTTGTGACCCAGGCTGGTCTCAAACTCATAATGATCCTCCTACTTCAACCTCTTGAGTGCTGGGATTATAGGCATAAACCACCAGGCCTGGCTACAATACAACTTTAAAATACAACATTTGATTATTATCAAGGAGCATTTATAGTGATATTGTAAATAGTTTAAAACAAATCTATATCAATTATCCCTGCCAAATAAGACTTTAAAATGCAGACTACAGGATGCTAGTTGAAAATATGCACTTAAGTGCAGTGATTTTTTTTTAAACATGTACATACTAAAATTTACTGTTTTAAAATTATCTATTCTGACAAGAGATTACAAAAAATTTATGATTAAATAATGGGATGAAGAGTTCTTGTCAGTACAGAAATTAAAAACAGGAATCACTAGTGCTCTTTCACTGCATGTTTGAACCATTGTTGACTTTTGGAAAACAACAATAACAGTGTTTACTTTTTACTGGGAAATTTAGCATTCAACAATTATGAATTGAAATCCAGGTATCAGAAATTTTGAAAGCTCCCTAGGATTGTGGTATAGTTAGAATGATACTGATTGACCTATGTGTTCTAGGATAGGGCCCAGACATGACCAAACACTACTAAATACTTGCTTAAATTAAAAAGTGAAGGATTGCCTCAATTTTATTTTTCTTTAAATTAACTTTTTCTTTTGAATAGTTTTACATTTACAGAACAATTGCAAAAATAGTAGTTTCCATATATTGTACATGACATTCAGTTTTCCCTATTGTTGATTTATTAGTATGGTACATTTGTCCTATTAAAAAACTGGTTTTGATAGATTGTAAAGTCCCAATGCTACACAGATTTTCTTAGCTTTTACTTAATGCCCTTTTTCTGTTTCAGAATTTTCTAGGATACCACACTACGTTTAGCTGTCATGCACTCATAGACTCCTCTTGATGTCGCAAGTTTTCACATGGTCTGTTTTTGATGACCTAGAGAGTTGAACACTGGTTAGATATTTTGTAGAATGTCTCTTATTTGACATTTGGCTGGTTGTTGTAGTTGTTATTTTTCTTACAGTGAGAGTGGGATTTGTTTGTTTTGGGGGAGAAGACACAGAGAGGAAGTTCATCCAATCATATTAAAATATTTTGTTTGAAAATGATTTTTCACTGTTGATGTTAACCATGATCACCTAGCTGAGATATTTTTAAATGGTAACTTTACTGTTTTCATTTTTCCATACGGTGTATAATCATAGAGAAAATCATAGAAATCATAGCCCACACTTAAGTAATGGCAAAAGAGTATCATAATTTTTTTAGAATTCTACACAGGAGGTTGTCTGATTGACTGATTTATTATTTAGTCACTTGTATCAATATAGACTTTTTTCGCCTCAGATTTTTCAGATTTGGCCAATGGTTTATCTCTTTCAGTTCATACCTTTGTCTCTGTTTTTGTTTTCTTTTTTTACATACCTCCTTACTGTAAGATATTTAAGGTTCATCTTGTATATTTCCTGCTTTAGATCTAGAATTTGGCATTTAGTTCTTTTACTGGAGTCTTGTATTAAAAACCAAGATTGGACCCTAAGTGTACTTGTTGCCTCTGCATTAGGTTATTGCCTCTATTGCTGTCAGTTTAGCAAGGAGACCTATGTGTTTATACTAACTTAATATGTACATACACATGAATGTGCATATGTATTCATCTGTATGTTTAATAAGCTAAGTATGACTTCATACTGATGTTTCTGACTCTCCTTCCTTACCACCATAGATCATTCTAGCTGTTTCCTTTTGTTTCTTTATAACCTGAAAAACTCAGCTCCTACCCTATCATTTACTGCATTTTCTTCAGAATTACTAGCTCATATATCCATAGGGAACAGCATTATTCACTACTTGGGATTTATTGTTTGTTTTTGTCTCGATTTTTAAAAAAATTCTTTTTATATTTTGGATACAAGATCCTTCTAAGCATGTGCTTGGCCAATATTTTCTCCCAGTTTATTTCTTGTCTTTTTCCAGTTTATGTCTTTTCTTTTAGAACAGAAGATTTTAGTGTAACTTATAAGCTACTTTTTTAATGGGTCATTCTTCAGGTGTCTGTAATCATCGCCAAATTCAAGAGTATACAGATTTTTCTTCTATGCTTTCTTCTGGAAATTTGGTTTTGTATGCTATATTAAGGTCTGTGACATATTTTGAATTAGTTTTTGTGAAAACTTTAAAATGTGTAGCCTGGCCTGACCTCCCCTCCCCTTCTGTTAATAAATGTCTAGTTGTTTCAGCACCTTTGTGTAAAAAACCTTTTGCCTGTCCATATAATCATTTGTATTATTTTTGTCAGTATTTGCTAATTAGCTTATTGCAATTCTATTGGGGTGGAACTTGTTAGAACAAAATGCCATCTTACTGGTATTTCGTTTTCCAATCTGTTAACAGGTAATGGTGCTTATTTTGTTTAGATTTTCCTTTATCAGATCCTATGCATATTCTTATATGTTAGACTAAAGTGTGTAATTTTTGGTGCTGTTGAAAAACTTTTTTAAAAATTCTACTCCCAGTTATTTATTACTGGCATATATTACAGCAGTTGACTATTATATGTAACCTTTCTAATTGTTTCTTTACCGTACTCATGTGTTACTCCCAGGACATTTTTTGTAAATTCTTGAAAATTTTTATACAAAGGAATATCATCTAAACTATAGGTCCATTTCTTCCTGTGTAGTAATCATTAATATATTTCTGTATCTTCACTATATTTCTCTTCCTTTCTTCTCTCCTTCCTTTCTTTCTTCAACAGGATCTCATTATGTTGTCCAGGGCGGTCTCAAAATCCTGGACTCACATGATCTTTCAGGTAGCTAGGACTGTGGAGGAGCACCAGTATGCTCAGCTCTCGATACGTTTCTGTTTCAGAGGATGTATTTTTCTTCTGTTCATAAATATTGGTGTAGAAGAAAGATAAGATATGGTATTTACCTGCAAGAAGATTCCATGCTAGTGAGGCAACAAGTAAATGGTTGCCAGTCTTGATTCAACATAACAAACACTATGATTATCTCAAGACATACATAGAGCAATGATAGCCAACCTTTTATAGCTTTCAGTAATACAACCAGTACCCTGGAGCATGCATGCCATAGGTTTACCGACACTGGCATGCAGAACAAGAATCGTTTTATTGCTTTATTTTCTAACTTTTCACCTCTCTTCAGAAGACCCCTTTTCTGCTTCATTCTTCAGTCAACCACATTGTCCTTTTTACGGCTTTCCCCTTAGGAAATATATTTCTCTTTTGGCCACTGAATTATTAAAAAAACTCAACAAATCATTCACAACCAAACTTTTTGATACAACAGTTAATTAAGCCTTTGTTCTTTCACTTTGCATACACAGTTGCCATCTCTTATATACCTGAAATACTCTCCATCGGCACTGTCTGCATGGTGACGTTGTGAGTAGGATGAGATTTACTTTTTTTTTTAATTTAAAGAAAGATTAAACTAAACAGAAAATAGGTAGAAATAGTACATACATTCAGAGAAAAAAAAGAGTAAGAAATCACTAGTTGATGTTGTCGTTTTACAAATAGTTGTTCAAGGTACAAAAATGGAACATGTAAAGTGGGAATTCAAACAGCGAGACTGCAAACAGTTCTGTTCAACTGTCCAACAAAAACTTGGTAACATGGTTGTCAATCCTATACATTTAAACATACATGCAGTTATCCATATCTTCATTTATATTTAGATTAAACAAACTAAAGCAGGTTAAAATCATTTTGAACAACGAATAATAGTATCGTTGGATTTCACTTCATGACACTCCATGATCAGCACTGGGTACTATAGTGTCTTCTTTTTAAAACTGAATTTAAAGAAAGACTAAAAACAACAGAAAACGGGTAGAAATAATACGTAATTTCAAAGAAAAATAAACAGTAAGAAATCACTAGTTGATGATTACAGATTGTCTTCTTACAAATAGTTATTTAAGATACTAAATTGGAGCATATAAAGTGGGGATTCAAACAGTGAGATTGCAACCAGTACTGTTCAACTATCCAACAAAAATTAGAAATATGGTTATCAGTCCTCTACACTGAAACACCTATGCAGTTACCCATATCCTCAATTACGTTGAATTTCAATAAACCCAAGCAGGCTAATATCACTCTGAACAAAAAAATAACACTATTGCTGGGTTTCACATTATGACACTCCAGGATCAGCACTGGGTATTTTAGTGTCTCTTTTTCTTCAAAGCATCTGTTCATTTCATCAATTGTCATAAGATCAGTTCTCATAACTGTTTATAAATTCTACACATGCATGGGTCTTAACATGTATTTTTTTTTTTAATTTTGAAAGTAGCAAATATGCCACAGTGCAAGACAGAACAAAGCCAATCGAGACAATGCAGTGAAATTGGTACAGGATTTCACAGTAGGATACAGGGATAGTAGTACTAAGTACTATGGTATATCTCTTTAATTTAACAATAGCTATCCAGTCAATTACATATTATAAAATCAAACCAAAAACAGAACATTGTAAAACCAATTGAGAATATTGAGTAGAGCAAAAGAAATATAACAAAAAGTAAAAACAACCTATACCTTCAAACAGAAGATAGAAAGAAATCCCCCATATTTGCTATACTGCATATGGTCATCCTCCCAAGAGATGTTGAAATATCTATCCCCAGTAGGTAAGGGGGGAGGGGTAGGTGGGAGAAGGGTGCTTGATTTTCAGCTCACGTGGAAGTTGACTCACAGGTAATGGTTCTCCAGGCCCAAGCTGCAGGTGCTTATCAAGAGGGCAGGTGAATAAGCTGCCTGAGACCCTCCATGGCCGGAGCTCTGGAGCTCTGTTCTCCTTCTGGCCTGCGTTGCAGACGTTTACCAAGAGGGCGGGTGAATAAGCTGCCTGAATCCCTCCATGGCCAGAACTCTCTAGGATGAGATTTACTTTAACAGTGATTTAATTTGAGGAGTCTGTCATTCAGGTCACTCTGTGTAACAGGCAGTTTAATATGTAGATCTGAATTGCAAGGGAGAACTCTATCAGTATTTTTTGCAGTTAGTGGTTTAAAAAGAGAGCTTAGGAGATTACTCAGAAAATTATAGAGGAAAGCCTGTGTGACTTCTCTTTCCTGGATGTTGTAACCTTTCATGATGTCTTCCAGGCTGCAGCTGGGCCAGTATTCCTGTGAACGCCCATGCTGTGCTCCTTCAGCTCTTTGAGAATATTTATCTCACTGTCTGTACCTAGTTTTTAACCTTCCTTATTGAACTATACATGTCTCAAGGACAAAGACTGTATCTTAGCACACTGGCACATAGCATTTAATATAAAAATATTAATTTGGTAAATATGAGTCAAGCAAAGATGGTGGATAAATAACAGCAGGCTACAGAGGCTCCCTGAGATAGTCAACTTAGAATTCAATATAATACAGTGTGGGGAGTCCCGAACAGAGGGAGATGAATTCTCTCGTCCCAAGAAAAACTAAGGTGAGAAGAAGCAATCAAACAAAGTCCCTGTGCCTACTACTGGAACAGCTAAAGGTTCAGTGCTTCTGCTGCAGTGCCCAAACTCGTGTGGCAGTGACTTACCGAGCCATCCAAAATCCTGCCACTTAAAATCACTGGAAACGCAGTCACTCTGAGGTCGGGGGTCGGCAAGCCAAATGGAGAACTAAGGTAGCAAGACTTCAGTCAGTTGTTCCCTTCCCGAACGGGATTGGTGGAATGAGCTTGGTCTGGGTCATTCGACCTGGCTGAGACCCAATAGGTTATCTGAAATGAATTCCCTACAGCAGTGGCACACACTAACACAGTGAAGGCCTCAGCAGGTTGACTGATCTGAAGGGGAGGGCCCAGCATATGCTGCCCCTGTTTGCAACTCACTAGCACACTGCAGTGGGAGGGGTCACCTAGCCACTGTGCTTCAGAAGAGTTGTAACCAACAAAGAAAGAAACTGGGGCCTCCTGGAAGAAACAAAAAAGATGGGAAGAGGAAGCAACAAGAAAATGTTCCCAGGTCCCAACCCTGAGAACATTGACCCAGGACAGGTAAATACAAAGGAGAATGAGGACAGCAAACATGCAGTATCAGACACAGCACCAGTGGACATAAAGAGATATCTTCAGGACCTCATAGATGAGTTAAAAAGGGAAATATTTAGCCAAGTAAAGCAAGATATAAGAAGATTAATAAAAGAGTTGCTAAGCACCCCTCAAGAAGACAGAGATGGAAGAATGGAGAAACTCAAACAAAAGAGAACCATTTGATGAAGAATATAAAGAAAATATAGAGTACATGAAGCAGATTCAAAAAGATTACTAGGAAATTAAAAACTCTATGGAAAGATACAAAACTGTTTGAAAGAAACTAAGGATAGATTTTCCAAACTGGAGGACAGGTTTGCAGTGTGGGATTATGAAAAGAAAAACTTTTTAAAAATAACAAGGAAACAAGAGGATCTATAACTAAATGTGAATGAAGAAGCAGGGGTACAAACAAAGGAACTACAAAGGTTATTCACAGAAATAATTAAGGAAAACTTCCCAAACATAGGAAAAGGAAATGATATTCAGATATATGAGGCATACAGAACTCTAGCCAGCTACAACCAAAACAGAGCTACATCCAGGCATGTAATAATCAAAATCCCAGAAATTCAATATAAGAACAGAATATTAAAAGCTGTTAGAGACAAGAAACAGATCACCTATAAAGGAAGGCCCATCAGAATCACAGCAGACTTCTCGATACAAACCGTTAAGTCAAGAAAGGCCTGGAGCAAAATATTCCAAGCCCTGAAAGAAAATAACCTCCAGCCCAGATTGATATACCCTGAAAAACTGTCTCTAGAAATTAAGAAACAAGAGAAACACGATGCTTCCAAGACAAAGAGGAACTTGGGAAATTTGCGACCACCAATCCAGCTCTACAGAGAATACTGCATGACATGCTAGAGAGAGAGAGAAGTACTAGGATTCCAGGAAGAGTGGCAGAGAGGCCTCAACGAATGGAGCAGAAAACAGAATGAAGAAGAAAAGCAGACAATGGATGGCAAAAAAACATAACAGAAATGAGGCAGAGAAGATTGGTTATAATCTTTAATATAGATGGCTTTGGTACACTAAATTAAAAGAAAAAAGAATCACACGTAGAATAGATCAGGAGGTAGGGTCCACTGAGATGCTATTTATAGGAAATATAATTAACATGAAAAAGAGTACATGAACTGAAAATCAAATTGAGAAAACAATGCTCTATGTGACAGAGAACCAGAGAGTAGTAGGGGCAACTAGACCAGTATTTGTGGATTGGTTGGAAAGACAGGCTTTAATAGGTAAAGGAATACAGTTAGAGATCAAGTCTAGGAGAGAAAAGGTTCAAAACCACCTAGGTAAATAGCAGATTGCCCCCACCCAATTTAAAACCAAGGGTCTTGGTGAGACCCAAAAATACACAGTGTACCTTGGGGAAAGTGAAAAGGGAGGGAGAGTCTTAAAAAAGTTGGCAGAAGATATTGTTAATAGTTATCAGGATTTAAAACCCACATTACTTGCACCATTCTGCTTAGATAGATTTTATTCTGTCCCAGTTTGTCTACTAGTATTAGATTTGAGGACACAGATAACTATCCCCAAAACATCAGGATATAGCACAGAAATCATCTTTAATTTCCTATTAACTCAATCTGGAGCCCTGTATGACTTACACTGTTTTATCATGACTGATCTTACTTAAATCTGGTTTGTTTGATTGCTGTTTGGTATCGACAGATTTTATTCAAAACTGATATGATTGATAGTATCAAGTCTGAGAGTGTAGACAACTACACTGAAGATGACAAGACTCACTATGATACACATTCTGGTTTGATTACTGCCTGTTGTTGAAGTTTTATACTATATGCAAAGTTGTGTTTTTATTAATACTGTTATGTACTGATATATTCAATTATACTATGTCTGATGATGTAGCCAATTCTATTGAAAATAACAAGAGACAACACAGGAACTATGGTACAACTCCTTGTACCATGGTCTTATATGTCTTTTTCATTTCATGTGTTTGTAGGAATATGCTTTGTTTTTTCTTGCTTTGTTTTGTTTCTCCCTCTAATATAGAGAGGATAGAAATACATGTTAAGACTCATGCATATGTAGAACCTATAAACATTTTATGAGAACTGATTTTATGACACATGATGAAATGAACAAATATTTTGAAGAAAAAGAGACACTAAAATACCCAGTGCTGACCCTGGAGTGTCATAATGTGAAACCCAGCAATAATATTATTCTTTGTTCAGAATGATATTAGCCAGCTTGGGTTTGTTCAATCTCAACATAATTGAAGATATGGATAACTGCATGTATGTTTATGTGTGTAGGATTGATCACCATATTTTTAAGTTTTTGTTGGATAGTTGAACAGAACTGGTTGCAGTCTCGCTGTTTGAATCCCCACTTTATATGCTCCACTTTAGTATCTTGAATAACTATTCGTAAGAGGACAATCTGTAATTATCAACTAGTGATTTCTTACTGTTTATTTTTTTCTTTGAAAGTATGTATTATTTCTACCCATTTTCTGTTTTGTGTAGTCTTTCTTTAAATAAAATTAAAAACAAAACAAAACAAAACACTGCAGTACCCAGTGCCGATCCCAGAGTGTTATGATGTGAAATCCAGCAATAGTATTATTCAGAATGATTTTAGCCTGCTTTAGTTTGATTAATCTCAACATAAATGAAGATATGGATAACTGCACGTATGTTTAAGTGTATAGGATTGATAACCATATTACTAAGTTTTTGTTGGGCTGTTGAACAGAACTGGTTGCAGTCTCGCTGTTTGAATTCTCACTTTGTATGTTCCACTTTTGTTTCTTGAACAACTGTTTGTAACAGGACAGTATGTAAACATCAACTAGTGATTTCTTACTGTTTATTTTTTCTTTGAATGTTGTGTATTATTTCTACTCATTTTCTGTTTCGGTTAGTCTTTCTTTGAATAAAATTTAAAAATGAATAAATAAATAAATTGGTAAATGTTTAGTGAATTTACAAATATATGTATACAACTGCTTTATAATAGGTTTTACCTTTTCTTCCTTACTATTTTGAATAGTGTATCACCAACACAGAATATAAAGGTTGAGCATTCTGAATCTGAAAATCTGAAATTTTTTGAGCATTTATGTGACAACAGAAGTGGAAAATTCCACACTTTCCCTCATTTGGTGGGCTATGGTAAAAATGCAGATACACTAAATATTTTATACAATTACTTTCAGTCTGTATGTATAAGGGAAATAAATAACAAATGCACTGTCAAGAAGGCAGAGGAGGAGGGGAAAACATAAAAAAGAAGTGAAAAGCTGATGTACCTCGTAAGCATCCTTGAGTTTGATCACCAGTGCTTTAAAAAAAAAAAGTACCTACTGGCAGTGAATTATTTCTTTAGTGATGCTTAAGTAAAACACATGCTACATTGTTGAGTTGGGGTGAAAGAGATTGTTTTTTGCTATCCTGAGCATTCTCCACCCCAGAATTTTATTTGTATTGGGAATTTAAATAATATAAACTAAACATTAAAATTATTTCAGTGCGTTTCAAAGTGTCTTTTTAAAAAATTGTGTATTTTCTATTAATTTCTTAACATTTGATATTTATGTAAGAAATATTTCTTCTGCTAAATGTATGTTAAAGATTGTGTTTGCTCTTAGCATCATAAAGGAGTAGAAAAGGAGTGAGAAAGAGGAAAAATGAAAAAAGATATTCTTTTCAGGACAAATTAGCTGTTAAATAAATTTTTGCTAAGAGCATGAGATACAGTCCTAAATCTTTTTACATAAAATCAGTTTATATAATAATTATAAAGTACTTTGAATATCTTATTTCCTTTGTAGTCTTTTATCCATTCTGTGGGATCAACACATGTACAGCTATTATTTGCAAGTCCTGGAAATTATGAAATTCAGACCACATCTACTGTTCTTATTAAGTATAGACGCCAGTTTTATAAAATATAACTGCTTTTGTAAAAATATAGCATGACAGAGGTTATGTATTTTAAAATATCAGTTTAAAAATTATCTGTCATCTGAAAGTTATTGATAGTATGTAAGTAAATGTAACATCAAATAGCGAGGTAATGGAGTTTTAGCGTTTTGTCTTTGGTGCCCTCTTGTGGAGATTTTATAAACTGCTTGTAAAAACTATAGTTTTAAAAGGTGTTATTTATTCTAAATATTTTATTTTATAAGCTCTTTTATATTTTGTTACACCTTTAAAATATTTTTGGCTGTGACATAGAAAATAAAGTCGTGGCTAAAGTTGCTTTTACCTTTTAATTTACTTTGTTGTACATCAATATTGTGCTCAGGGGACCGAGGATAATCTTTTGTTTGAAAACTTTTTGTTTAATGCCAAGAACTTGTGCAGTCTTGCATCATGGAGCTTCTGAAGTCCTGGCCCACACGCCTCCTTACCATTTAGGCTTGTTGTACTGATGAATAAGTCTTTTATGAGTTTTAGAGATACTGAAAGCTTTGATGTAATTTTAAAACATGCCTGTGAACATGCAAAAAGTTAAGATCCATGAAATTTCTGTTTGTGTAGTACAGATATGTCAAAGACTGCAACTGTGTAAGCTGCTATGCTGGTTTCCCAGTGAAATAGAAGGACCACGTACTTGTAACAATGAGAAGAAGGTTTATAATCTTCGTGTAAATATTACCAATCAGTAATTTTAAGTGGTTGACTACTGATTCTTTTGCCTATCACATGTGGAAGTGATACTTAGTGGCACCTATTTGACTTTGATATATTTCTTCTCTTAGAATTCTTAGCTCAGGTTGAATATGGTACCAATGAGACTAGCTTTAACAAGCTGATCCTACTTAGGCCGTTTCCATTGTATAGAAACAGCCCATCTTTGTCACCTGTGACAGGGAAAATGAAGTAAGTGCTCTCCTCCTTACTGGGAATTGAGATTTGGCTGTAACGTCCTGTTGGATCACTTTAATGGTTTCACCTTGCCATTAAAATAGCTGTTGCATGATTTGAAACATTTAAGCAAATTTATAACAGTACCCTTTGATTTTTGACTGTGTTTGTAACACAGTCATTATTAACCTTTATTTATTAACACAAGGTTAGTGTGTTAGCATCATGCAATTATGAACCTCCAAATTTATTTATGGTTAAGGGGTAGAATGAATGATTCCCGCGACAGTTTTTCCCAGTTTTATGTACATCTCCATGAAGTTTTACTGCGTATCTCTTGTTGACTTCTGAGTTAATTCTTTTAGTTATCTTTCACTACAAATTAAGTTTTGATTTCTTTATCATGTGCTGACGTACCAAAGTCCATTAAAAATCACTTGATTGCAACTAACTGGTGCTAGTTTGTTTTGTCTTCATTTATTCAAACTTCAGTCTTTCACAGATTTCTCTTTAGAGGCAATTTTGTTGTCTTAGGTTCACGATAGTGGAGACATTTTTGATCCATGATATTTCACTGACAATTTGTAGGATATGGTGATTTTTTCCTTTATGATTTCTTTTTGATTCAACTTTATCATTTAAATTAACCTCAAATCTGGACATTAGTAATAACCTTCCCATTCCAGTCTGTTTCTTCAGTCTTGTTTTCTCTAATTCATCCTCTAATTTCCAAACATTCCTGCTCTCCTTTGCCAAGCAGCTCATTCAGGCGCTCCATATTTAAAGCATTTTATAAGCTGTAGGCTGTCCCTTTAAATTGTCAAGTCACTTACTGCTTTTCATTTAAACCAGAGTATTTCTGCTTTTGTGCTTGTTTTTCTAATCTAGAATGCTGCTGTCTATCTACTATTGTAAGTTCTATGTTATGACCCAAGGGACCAACTCAGTTCTAAAAAGAAGTGCATCTTAATTCTGTTCTTATTTCTGGCTATTCTCAGTAGTGTGTTTATTCCTGTATTTATCTTTGAGACCATGAGCTTTTGTTTCGCTGGATTTGAGCTCAGAAAGCAGTATGAGTTCTTGTGTGAGGGTTG